CAACCTTCCAGCAGTGCTTCACAACGTGGGAGTCACTCGTTGGGTCAATGTCTTCGTGGGAGGCGCTCACAGATTGTGTCGAGAATACCGAATCCTGGCTACAAGATCTGCAAGCATGCCTTGAATTTCTCAACGCGAAAGGGGAAGAGTATCTTGCGTTGCCTCTCCTACATCTTTTGGTCAAGATTTTGGAGCTCCAAGACGGTTCTGATGTATCCGAGCGCATCGCCGTTTTGTGTGCCCTCGGCCTGCAATTTCTTCACCTTGGATATACCGGCAAAGCAGGGTTGTCTTTGGCGAAGGCTGAAGCGTTGCTCGAACGTCAGACATCATCTGTAGAAGCCAAGCTGCAATGGCATATGGCATACGCTGAGTATCTTGTGAGTACCGGGAACACCACGAAATGGTATGTAACGAACTATATGATTTTGACAGCATCACACTAATAATATCTAGTCTGACTACGATGGCGGATGCTCAATCTCTTGCGCTCAACGATCGTCAGTTCATGGAGCTCGCAAAACCTACAACTACGCTTTCTGGCAGATTGCGATTTAACAAGATAGTGGCGGCTGCCGCTTATGTGCAGTCGCTTCTTGCCACAGCTACTGGGTCATACAAGACAGCAGCTCGGCATGCGAGGCAGTGCGTTACAATCAATCGTCGCATATGGGCCGCCCTCGAATCACGGGCCAGTGCGAAAAGGATGACACATTCGGAGAATGCGGAATCTGCTGCGCCTCTTGTCATGTCCGTGACACATGATGCTCTCAATGGACCTGAATTCTGGTGCCTGGTTCCTGCGTTGTATCGGGCACTAATGCAGCAATCTCAGATCTTCGCCCACCAAGGCCTATTACATGAAGCAATCCATGTTGCTGAACAGGCTGAAAAAGTGGCTGCAGCCACACAATCTGCGACTTTGATCACAGACAACGCCAGCTGGCGTGCTGACTGTTGGGCGCAGAGTGGCAGACCTGACAAGGCCGAAACCATTCTCAAGTCTCTGAGTCCCGATCTTTCCCGAAAGTGTCTCTCAACGGCAGGTTATCATTCAGCCGTAGCCAGGATACATCACTGGAACGGTCAATATGAACAGGAGATACAGTCGTACGACTGCATGGAGAAACTTCTTAAGGACCTGAGTTCGCCATCGTACATCAAGACTCTGGAGACTTTTTCTACCTCCGTCGATGCGCTTGCTAATCGTGTCTCATCTATGACCCTAGAGGCCACGGAGAATGTCAAGAAACCAGCCACAAGAGGTCGCAAACCTGCAGTGAAAGCTGGACCGAGAGCGGCTTCCAAGTCTACCGCCAATGCTCGCGCCAAGGCCACAGTAGCTGCAAAGCCTGTTCCAAGAACGAAACGCCAAGTAGGAAAGCCCACTGTTTTGGAAACGCCTAGTATCACCGAAGAGTGCTCTGCGCTGTTCGTATTCCAAGCGAGCATGAGAGACCGAGCTGTCCTTGCGAACCTACTCCACGATGATCTCGCAAAAGCTCTGAGTATACTTGGTGAAGCGGAACAGCTTCAAACTGGACTAAGCCAGGAAGTGTCGCACATGTGGGCTATCTTCAAAGCGAAACTCGCACAGAGTGCGAAGCAGATTGCTGAAGACTTTACTGTCAACACACTCCCTGAGTCGACCATTGCCTTTCCTGCTTTTGGTCTCGACGCAGCAACCGCCAAGAAGGGTGCTCTGGCTACTTCGACTGCTACCAAAGGTGGCCGGGCGAAGAAACAAATCAAAGTGGACTTCATGGATACGCTTCGTGATGCACGTGCGCGACTCGTAGAAGCACACTCCCTGTGTGCTACTAATGGGTCCAACCATCTGTTCCGTCAAACCTCCATGGCGCTCGGTCATGTCACTGTGTTGATGTCGGCTGTCTCAGGAACAGAGCTGCCGGGCTCGCTCCACCCGTTATACGCAGCTTATATGAGCGAACTTCCAAAAGTAAATGCCTTGCGGCTTGTGCAGGAGTCGACAGAGGCCGAGAAGGAGCAGCTCTCACGCGATGATTGTCTGAGATGGCCAACTTCTGATTCGTCGCATTTTGCCTTCAGCTCAGTATCCAGTTTCCAGGAAGAATATGTTGACATCATTCCAGAAACGTGGTCTGCTATATCGCTGGCGCTTAGTGAGGCACGCGATGAGCTATTCATCACCCGATTTGAGGGTGGCTTGTCTCCGTTCGTATTACGTTTACCACTTGCCCGTCACGCTTCCCGCGAGATGGACGAAGAAGAGTTTTCTTTCGAGGATGGCAAGAGAGATTTTGATGAGATTGTCGAGCTCAGTGACTTCAGTACTCGATCCGCCAAAGACATGACTTCTAGGGAAGCGAGACACCAGTGGTGGGCTGAACGCGAAGCTCTCGACACCCGGCTTCGCGAACTTCTTGTCAACATGGAAAACATCTGGCTCGGTGGTTTCAAAGGTATCTTCTCACAACACGAAAGACAGCCAGCTCTTCTTGCTCAATTCCGAAAGTCACTGGAGGATATACTCAACGAACACTTGCCATCTCGCAGGAAGAAGAGTACCCAAAAGCGACCAGTGCTGGATACACGAGTGCTGGAGTTGTTTATTGGACTGGGCGACGCTACTAATGACGACCTCGATCTTGATGAAGCGCTAATGGACCTCATATACTTTGTGGTGGACATCCTCCAATTCAACGGCGAGCGTAATGCATACGACGAGCTCGACTTTGACGCCATGGTCGTGGAGACGCATGAAGCATTACGCGCCTATCACACAGCGTCACAAAAACTTGATGCTACCTCTCGCCATACGATACTTATTTTGGACAACAACTTGCATGCCTTCCCATGGGAATCGCTGCCTTGCCTAGAACAGCTTTCTATCTCGCGACTACCCTCGCTTGCCGCCCTTCGAGAGCGAATACTTTCTGCACGATCTTCGGCAACCCAGCAGGATGCTGCTCCGGGCCATTACATTTCTACAAGCACTGGAGGCACGAGTATGCTAAATCCGTCGGGAGACTTGGCGCATACCTCGAAAACCATCAAGCCACGTCTAGACGAACTTACAGGTTCTTGGAATCACATCGCCAATCGCCCACCGTCGGAAGTTGAGTTTGAAGATTCGTTGCGAAACAAAGACCTAGTTTTGTACTTCGGTCACGGCAGCGGTGCGCAATATGTCAAGTCGAAATCAGTGCGACGTCTCTATCCCGGCGAACAGAATGAAGGAGAACGAAAACCAGGCTGTGCGACCACACTCCTCTTCGGCTGCTCGTCTGTACATCTTACAGAAAACGGGATTTTTGAACCTTCGGGTATGCTTGCTTCGTATCTCACCGCTGGCGCACCAGCAGTACTTGGCATGTTATGGGACGTCACTGACAAAGACTGCGATCGCTTTGCCGTCAAAGCAGGTGAATTATGGGGATTGTGGCCCGAGGCGCAAGAAGACGTGTTGCCATCCAAGACGTCTACGAAGACTCCTGCGAAGAAGGGCAAGGGCAAGAGTAGAGTTGCGCAGTTGGTGGACGAGGTAGAGGGTGTAAGGGCCGCGGAGAGCGCAAAGAAGGGAAAGAAGTCTGTGAAACTTGCAGATGATCATCCGAATTTGGAAGGCAATTCGCAGAAGGGGGTTGGATTAGATGAAGCGGTGCGGGATGCGAGAAAGGCTTGTTATTTGCGGTACTTGAATGGGGCTGCTGCTGTTGTATACGGAATACCGGTATATTTGGACTAGTGTAGCGAGGTAGAATGAGGCCACTACAAAACAAAGCAACGAATAATGTACGCGAGACTTTCATGTTTTGATAAGCACATAAACAGGTCCTTCCGGTTCGGTCCTGATCTGTAAACCTTATTATGACGCGCGGCTGCTGCTCTACGGAAGCAACTCCGATGGTGTTATGACGGGACGAGGCCACGGTCTCAATCAGCGGAAGCGACAGAATCGGTCTTCGCATCCTCGGAACTCCACATTCTCCAGCGCGTCAATACGTCCGCTACAGTTTCCGATCTTGTTCGCAACGACTTCGAAAGCAATGGCCGAACGACCCGCCAAGTCAGGGTCATCTCGAAAGCGTGCGCTCGTGAGCTGCGACCGCTGCAAAATTCGACGGGCACGGTGCATTCGCGAGAATGCCGACGTGCCTTGTGCGGACTGCAAGGCAAATGGCGTGGTTTGTGAATCCAAGCTACCACGTAAACAGAGAGTGTATGGGAGTGTGGAGACGCTCAGCCTACGCTACAGAGCTCTTGAGTCGCTAGTCAAAGGGCTTTTTCCGGATGAGAATGTTCAGGACACAGAGACCCTGTTCAAGATCGCCACGGCAAGCAACATAGCAATGCCGGCGAGCGACGACTATACACCTGCAGATATCTTCAGCAATAGCAGTAGCGACAGACAGGCTTCTTCTTCGGAACAGCAACAAAAGCAGCAGCAGCATCAGTCGTTGCAAACATCACCCATTGCTCAGTCCCCATACTTGGACCCACACACTACTACATATCCCCTGCACACTGCTCACCGCACATCTTCCTTGTCTACAAGCAAAGAGCGCCTACGCCAGCCTGCTTCCGTAACCCAACAAGTATCTTCCCAGGCAGAAGAGGTCATTCGCACAAATCGAGGCGTCTCGCATTATTTCGGTCCTTCCAGTAGCTTTCGGCTTGCAACGACTATACGAGCACTTGCGTCCCGCTGGAAAGCCGTCTCTGGTGCAGACTTTCCTGGACTCCGGTCATTCACATCAAACCCCTCAAGTCGATCAGGATCGGCGCTGAAACGCAGCAGCACAAATCCTTCGGAAGACGAATTTGCTATACCCACATCGAGCCAGCGTCCCAATTCGAGCCATGGAAGTCGGAAGAGATCCAGAACTGAGATGGAGGCATCGAATGATCCGTCGCAACTTCAAGATAGTACTTCACGTCTAGATACAATTGGTGATTTGATTCCCCCAAAACACATCACTGACGCTTTAGTAGCGGTCTATTTTGATCAGATTCACATGTACTTTCCCCTGTTCAATAGAACCGTGTTTCAGATGCGACTGGAAACTACATACTCGCGAAAGGGCGACTTCATTGACGAATGCAAGGACATGGGATGGCTAATCTCACTGGCTTTGGTCCTGTCTTTCGGTTGCCAGCAATCAAGAGCAAATGATGTCGACCAAATGCAAGCGCTCCGCCGCAAGCTTGTTGTTTTCGCCAAAACCTACTTCCGTGTACTTTTGACGGCGACGCAATTAGAGAACGTTCAGGCACTTGTCCTTCTCAACATGCACCATCACAACGTTGGACAAAAGAGCAGTTCGTGGTTACTGATTGGTCTTGCTGCACGCATGGTACGTTACTTGCTGCACACGGTTCCGGTCCTCTGCTAACGCTTGATGCTAGGCAATCACCATGGGAATGCATCGCGATAGCTCGAATCTACAGTTTGAACCCATCGAATGCAACGTGCGCCGGCAAGTATGGTGGTCCATCTACATATTTGAGAAGATACTGTGTGGTATATTGGGTCGTCCTACGGGAATTGACGACAGAGAGGTAGCGATGAAGGTTCCCGACGCACCAATGCTCGAGCAAACGCGCATCACCGCAATTTTCATGAACCTCTGCTCCGACCTCGTGTCTTTGTCGTACCGTATCCGACAACGTGCATACTTCGACAAGACCTCGTCCGAAGAGCGATCGCCGACGCTGGCTGTTGCCATGACCCTACTCCGCGAATGCGACAACTTCTACGCGAACATCCCTCCACACATGTCCCTTGATCAAGCCCCAGGAGGTACAGACTCGAAGGCAATGATTCTGTTGCTGCACATGTACTACTATTATACACGCTGTGTCATCTCCCGAGACTTTCTCATACAAAAAGTCGAGAGCAACGTCTGCTTCTTGGAGAACAAAGCGTTACCGGCTTCTGAGGATTGGCCATCGACTCTAATACTTGCGGAAGACTGTGTTGACTCGGTGCACAAGAGTCTCCAGTGCATCACAATTGGGATAGATCTTGGTATCTTCGAGATCATGGGCTACTCGTGGTTAGACTTTTTCTTTGTATTCCATGCCGTCTTGATAGTATGCGCAGACTTCCTCGCTCGACCCAAAGGTCAAACAGATTCACCTAGAGACATCGAGCGCAAAGCGACGGTGTGCACTGTCCTCGAGCAGGTCCGTGGAATGCAGCAAAAGCTCCCATCCACATACAAAACCTTGGGTCAAATTGCGCTGCAGTTCGCCAGGATAACCGGTGTTACCCAAGACAGTGATTCACCAACGATACAAGACGCACCAGCCGATGCGTCTCTAGAATCTGTTGTGGATATGGCACATGAGGAAAGCAACGACCAAGTCGGCATGCTTGACATAGGAGGCGATTGGTACACGGATGCGACAGCAGATCTAGGGTTAGATTTCTTCGACCTGGGCCAAGCGACGCATCCGGTGACATTCCCTATCATGGATCCTCCAACACGTTCTGAGAACGCGGGCGATCCGACGGGTGACGTTGTAGATGATTGGACGGACAGGGCGCTAAAGGGGATGCACACCCTTTAGACACGATATCACGCGTTGAAGTCCAAGTAAATTGTATGAAAACATTTATCTTGCCGTCATAAAGTGTCTTTGAAGCGTGGATGACATCATCACCTAGCGTGGTGTTTGCGTTGAATTAGCGCTTGGCGATGCACGATCGTCCGATAGCCGCAGCCAGTCAAGATCGGCCCAAACCTCTTTGGGATTTCATGACGCATTTGTTCACGGTTGATGTCGTTACAGCTGCAGACAAATACAGGTCCGCGGTAGCTCGCATGGTTGCAGCATGTCGCATAAGTGCTGAGATTTCGTTTCGATGTCACACTCACACGACACAGAGCCTATTCTACCAACTACGAATATGGCAGGCGGCAACAACAGAAATGGAAAGAAGAAGGTGCTTGTTGTGGGAGCCGGCGCCGCTGGTACGTTGAACGCGTTTTTCGAGATCTATGGTTCCTAATTCGAAGCAGGAATGTCAGCCGCTCACCACCTTTCTGAACATCCCGACAAGTTTGACGTTACCCTCATCGACGCAGTAGATTACTGTGGAGGCCAGGCGTTTTCTATTGGAGTCGACAAGGAGCGCCATGGAGCTGACTGGCTGAACCAAGGTGTTCAAGGTGGAAGCTACATTTTCCATCACACCATGACAATGTTTGCGAGACAAGGCCATCATGCTGATCCCGTGAACCTTCAAGTCTCCTTTGGCAAAGACGATATCTTCTGGACTAATGTCTTCCCGACCGAGCTTCTTGCGCGCCATCAGAAGGAGATCAAGAAGTTTCACACCATGCTCAAGATTGTTCGATGGTTCGAGCTTTTCTTCGCGTTAATCCCCATCAAGATTCTTTTTAAAATGTTCTGGTTCTCCGAAGAGTTCACCAACACTGTCGCCATGCCCATGATCGCGCTTTTCCTGGGAACCGGAAATGAGACACCAAACGTACCTAGCATCATTCTCGAAAGGCTGGTTACTAGTCCAACATACGGAATGTGGTATCCAGGAGACAAGCATAGCGTTGCTAGCAACTTGCCGCCCATGGTGGTTTTTCCCAAGTTCAGCGAATTCTACGAGCGCTGGCGACAGGATCTGCTCAAGCGTGGCGTCAACGTCAGACTATCAACAGAAATTACACGAGTAATGAAGCGAGACAAGACTGGCGTTACCGTAAGGCTGATCAAGCGCACCCCAATGCCTGATGCGCATAACCCTAACAGTGCCAACGTTCCTTACGACAATGACCACAACGCCGATTCAAACGCGCAGGAGAAGGAAGAGCACTTTGACGAATTGATCCTCTGCGTGCTCGCCGATACAGCAAAACGTATTCTAGAACCCACTGCCTCCTTCCGTGAGAAGAAGGTCCTCGGCTCCGCCAAGTTCTCTGACGACATCACCGTCACCCATTGGGACAGTGACTATATGCACAAGCACTATGAGAACTTTTACGACCCAGATAAGGCTGTCACGAAGCTCTCTGACATCGATCAAACTGCGCGTAACACTATGGCCGAGAAGTCCTTCAAGCCGATGTACTACATCAAAATGTACCCCCAGGATCGATCAAAACTTGAAATGTGCTTTGATTGCACAAATTACCAGAGTCAGTTTCCACCGGAGGTTCCCTTTGACAAGCACATCTTCCAGACCATCTACTTGAATAAGGAAAGAGACGGCCACCTCTGGAGTATCGACGAGATCAACAAGGACAAAATTATTCGCAAGGATTGGTGGCACCAGCTGTGCCATTCCTGGACGCATTACGTTTTCGTCGTCCCATGGATGTGGCTTCTACAGGGCCGAAAGCACACCCGGTTCGCAGCGGCATGGACACTCATCAACGCCCATGAGGTTGCGGTTATGAGCGGAATTGCTGCGGCTGTTGATTTGGGTGCGCAGTATCCTGCTGATCTAGAGCGCGACAAGTTTGCTTTCTTGAGCTTCAGGCTATACTACCTACTGGCATACGGAAAGTGGTATAGCCGAAAGGCGACAAGGAAGACGAAGGAGGGACCGGGCAAGGACTGGGCAAGTGGTCTTTACGGTAGCGTCTACCGTGGTCCAGGTGTAAGCGATATTGATAGACTACAATGGAGGGAAGAGAACGACGTACAGGATGTGCCGATCAAGTACGGGTTCCCTTCTGATAGTGGAAAGCGATAGGTTGCGAGCGGAGAAGGCTGAGAACGATGAATGAAGTGTCGGAGGTATACATAGGGATGACGCAGCTATACCGAACATAATCTTTAATGCGCACTACAGATATGTAATTGGTCCTTCTGTGCATATACTAGCCCAACTTGTATATCTGGAGAATACATATCTTACGAGTAACGCCCGGCTGACCACGAACCGTTAACTCCAAACTCCGTTGTCAAACTCCGCCAAGTCCCTGCAGATCAGTGTCCACCGAACTCCACATCTCCACATAAAAGGTAAGCATGATGTCGTTACTGGAAGTATAAGTACTCCACCTTGGCAACATCTTATATACAAAAGTTGATACCAGAAACAAGCCCGTTACCCTTCTCACTCAATATGTCTTCCAAAACTCCCCTCGACGTCGTCTTCGGCTGTATGACCTTTGGCCGCGAAGGCGAAGAACAAGTCCGTACTTCAAGTCTAGATGACTGCGCAGCTATCCTAGATACTTTCCAGTCCTACGGCCATAGCGAAGTCGACACCAGTCGTTTCTATGGAGTAAGCACACGTACCCCCTTCAGCCCTATCCGCTAACGCCACTAGGATGGTTCATCAGAAGAGTACCTCCAGAAGCTAGACTGGCAGAAAAGAGGCCTGACGATGGACACAAAGTTCTTCCCTAATGTTCCTGGTCTTTTTGGCCGTCCTCAAACACACTCCAGATTAGAGGATATGCGCAAGAGCTTAGATGAGAGTCTGGCTGCTCTTGGAGGAAAGCAGGTAGATCTGTGGTATCTCCATGCACCTGATCGTACAGTACCGCTTGAGGAGACGGCCAAAGCCGTCAACGATCTGCTCAAAGAGGGGAAATTCAAGAGATGGGGCGTGAGTAACTTCATGTCTTGGGAAGGTATGTTACATGTTCTTCTCTTGTGATTTCCTACGCAGGCACATTGCTGATCCTTTCCCACCAACAGTGGCTGCACTCTGTGAAATTTGCAAAGCAAACGGATACCAATTGCCTAGTGTATACCAAGGCGTGTACAATGCCCTCCACCGCAGTATTGAACACGAACTTCTCCCTTGTTTGCGAAGATACAACATGTCCTTCTACGCGTTCAATCCGCTAGCAGGCGGATGGTTAACCTCGCGTTACAAGCGCGATACGCAGGATAGCACAATCGAGTCTGGCAGTCGCTTCGATCCAAACCGTATGCAAGGAAAGATGTACCGCGCGCGTTATTGGAATGACGAGTTCTTCACAGCCATCGAGGGGTTGCGTACCGAGCTACCTAATGGCCAAACAGAGAGCGAGACCGCGCTGAGGTGGATGATGCATCATAGCCAACTTAAGAAGGACTATGGGGACAAGGTCATCATTGGAGCTAGCAGTAAGAAGCAACTGGAGATGAATCTCGTTGACTTTGAGAAGGGGCCATTGGATGAGAGCGTTGTGAAAGCATTGGATCAAGGTTGGGCTGGTACTCGTGGGGTGACTTGGAAGTACTTTCATTAGAGTTGTGGATGTGAGATATGGGTGATAGGCTAGTTGACCCAAGGTTTTTGGGTAGAGAATTTGTGTTGTGAACCACAGTTCAGTCACCACCAGTACAGTGAACCATAGTTGGAGAGCGACATGCTAAGCCTTCGGGTAGATAAAATGATTGGAGTTTTCCCTTACGATGTGTTCCTTTTTCTCTTCACATAAACCCAACAGCAACTCTGAACCGACACGATAGAATAGTCGACGAAATGACAAATCCCTACAACCAACCAACCAAATGCGTGTCTACCACCACCAGCTGGTTCAACCCCAGTGGCACAGCACATTACGTGCGTCCTATTCTTCAGCCTGACATCTACGTGGAGACAAATAATACTTTGGAAAGGATCATCGCAGGGAATTCAGTTCGAGTAGCCAAACTCGAATCCCTACTCAAGGAGAAGCGGGGACAGCACAGAGCTGAAGAAGCCGCAACCGCAGCTAAGGCAACTGAAGAAAAGCGCCAACGAGAATTTGCTGCCGCGATCCAACAACACCGAGATGAAGAACTCTCAGCTATAGATATGAGGCAGCGTACACGGTACGGAAACGCTATGAGCCATGAGGTAGCAGAAGAAGAAGAAGCTACCACCGCGTTACAGGCGAAAGAGGCCCAAGACTACCGCAACTCGTGCGACTGCAACTTCCAACGACCCGCAAACAGCAATAAGGGAAACTTGACAGAAAACCAAGAGGAAGAGCGTAGGAAAAGGCGCATAGATATCTCTTCACGGTCCGCTTCGCAGGCCGATCACGAGGTGACGCTTGCGAACTGCCACTTGGAACTCGCGAAATGGGATCTGCAACGCAACGCTCAAATGGACTCGGAAGCTACATTCAACGCCTTCTTTTCTGTGCAAAACAAGCCACGTCGCACAGGAACCCAATGGCGCGGTACTGGCAAAGTAATCCGTCCGTATATCACCTCATCTGGCCCAGGACATGACACCTGTTGCGACTTCGATCACTGCAATGGGTTTTGTGCAGATATCGAGACTACTCGACACGAGTAATCGCAGTATACGTGTCTAGGTAGACATACGTGCAGACTTATGCGATTACAACATGTCAGTCTCAAGTAGAATATATCCTAGTACTGCACAACGAGGTACGATAATTCAGTACAAATGGCCGTGGGATGTTACCTCGTCAGCAGAAGTACTCGGTACAGAAGGAAAAACCACCGAAAGAAAGCACGAATGTTTTGAGAAGGCCAGCATAGGTGAATGGTAGGGTATTTGGGTATTAGGTGTAAGCTATAATTGAAGATGACAAGACTTAGCGAAGGAAAGAGGGTATATCAACCAACCAACCAATCCCAACCAGACTGAAAGTCAAACGCATGCCGATGCATCTCGAGAGCGAAATTGGAAGACTCATAGTAAACTACCTGGAACAATTCAACGCCGAGGTTATCTCATTCTGAAATCGTGTAAATAGTACGTGAACGCCCGTTGTCCCATTGTCGTAGTGTATCCGTCATTAGAAAGGAACTGTCAGCATACTACTTCCTTTCCCTTGTCTCTCCATCCACAGGCTTGACGCTTGTAGAGCCCTCGAGTGGAGGGATATAACCTAGTTGCTTCTCATTTCCGCCCTCCATTGGTGTGAAGGGTGTAAAGCCACCTTCAGGTGACGCCTGCCACCTGGCCATGTCCGCCTTGAGCTGTTCAAGCTCTTTCTGGAAGCGATTACCAAAGACATCGATGTAGTAGGTGGCGCCATTGTAGACACTCCAGATGAAGACGACGCTAAGGAATAGACCTGAGGGCCAGCGGTACCAGAACCAAACCGGGCATGGTAGCATGGTCAAAACAGCATAGCTGTATTGGATGAACATGAAGGCAGGCTCCTGCAGGAAGTCGGGCAGCGAGAGAACGATCTTGCCGATCCATGTTTTGGCATACGACTTCCGCAGCCATGTAAAGCTAGTAGGCCGACCCGCCGCAATCTTGTCACGACGGCGTACTGTGATGAGAAAGTGGTAGCCCAGCTGCCAGAAAGCATACGGTACAGTGGCCCACAGCATCATCTGCAGCAGACTGTAATGGTGGGGTGAAGTTGGATCGGAGTGGCGGATATCGTAGATGGCGGGATAGTGTTCTTGCTGGTATTCTGGCGAAAGCAGGTGAACAAGGCAGTGTAGCGTGACACAGGGCATGATGTGGATGAACAAACTAGAAATGTTAGCATGAGTTCCATGTTGCAGGACCAAGCAACTAACCTGACAACCTTGTCCATGCTGTGGAAGACGAGCGAATTACGCCACATGACGATGGCAACAGCGTTGTTTCCCATGCAGAGGCAGTATGTTGCAATGAACAAACGCTTAGACTGCGGGAAGACCCACACACTCAAAACGAGTAGTATGTTGACGAAGTAGCACAGGTCTGCGAGAAAGTAGTGGTAGCCCTTCTTGTGGTAGGTGAAGAAGCGAAGGGGCATGAAGTAGAGTAACTGCGCAGTGTACCAGTGTGGAAGTAGATCCGGATGGCACCCGACAAGGTATCCTGAGACGAAGATGTTCATGACGGCAGCAATGAAGGAAGCCTTCTCACGCGCAGTGACAGTGAGCGACTCGTTCCAGCGGCGATTTAGACGATCCACCGAGTGGCGCATGCGCCTCTTGTATTTCTCAAGTTGTTCTGCCTCAGATGGAACTCTCCGTCGCCATTCTTCCACGACGCGATCTTTTGTAATGCCCCGGTTCTTGGCCTGGTTCTTGATTCTCTCCGTCTGGGAAGCTATGGAGCTCTGTATCTTCTCGATGCGCTGCGAGAGGGCGAGGTTCTCGACAAAGTCGAACATGGTAAGCTTCTCGACGGGCGGGAAAAAGGCGGCATCTTCAAAATCGGACTCATCGTGATAGGAGCTATTGGAGAAGGAGGCAGAACGAGAGAGGCCAGGTGTAGAAAGCGGCTGCGGGTTGGTGGAGGAGACTGGCTCATCGAGTAGCGCTGAGCCGGCATGTGTAGAATCGCCTGGTGTCGGACGCGCTGACAGCTCAGAAACTCCCAGCTGTGGCTCTGACCTGGACTTGGGCAGGCCGCTCCCGTCCGCATCCTCTGGGGTCGCCATGTTGGATATTTCCTCCTGGACGATTTCGAGACTAGAGGGGGTCCGCCGATGGAGGGGTCTTTTGAAGTGACGCGGGGGTGAAGCTGCAGCCATCATGGCGGTTAGCTGATGTATCTCGACAGATCCACCAAGGGTCCATGTTTGGGGGAGGGTAGGTATATTAGAGGGAAGAGGCGTACAGTGGTGGTGGTTTGCGTAGATCAGATCTAGTCAGACCCTATGCTCTCATGACAAGGCGAGTGATGTGCGGGGTTCCTGAATCGTGCTCTTCTGCCAGTCTCGGTGCCTCTGGGGGAAAAGTCGTGGGTGAATGCAAGCTGGTGATTGGCAAGCTTCACAACGTCATCGCAGGCACCTGGGGCATGCAAACTGAGGACGGTCACGAGGAAAGGCGGTTCTGGAAGAGATGTTGGACTGAGGAGGCGCAAGATACTGACAGACTCGGGCAGATCTAGGGAAATGTTGTGTATAGGACCAAGTCGGTGTGGTCAGCTCCCCTGCCTGCGTATCGGCCATGGTTTCGTCACCGCGGCCCACATGCCAGTGCATATCGGCACTAGCACGCTTTGGGCCCAAGGCTCAACGCGTCTGTGGACGCGCTCCAACACGACGAGAAGGACGGGCAGGCCCACCCCGCGACCACCAACCCGCCCAACACCACTTTACTACAGCGCATTCGCCGTATAGGTGTCGCGCAACTCGACCGCCATCATGGGAAAACTGGTGCGGCTCGAGATATACAGTGAGTACCCAGACGCGCAACTGTTTGCACTCACTGAGCATGCGCAGACTTCAAGTCCTACCGCGGACGCCATACCCTCCTCTTCGGCGACTCGTACTTTACATCCATCATCGGCCCCAATGGATCCGGAAAGTCGAATAGCATGGACGCCATCTCCTTCGTCCTGGGAGTCAGGTCGTCCCATCTACGGTCCGAGAAGTTGAAAGACATGGTCTACCGTGGCAGGATCATCCAAGAAGCTAGAATCAACGCCGACGGCACCGTAACTGAAGCCGACGGCGATGCGGGTGGCGACGCGAATGGCAATTCCAATGGCGACTCACAGGAGAACGGCGATTCGCAAGCTAGCACCCAGCGCAACGACCCACAGAACGCCTGGGTCAAGGCCGTCTTTGAGGATGATGCTGAGCAGACACACGAGTGGCAGCGTACCATTACGAGCTCTGGCTCAAGCGAGTACCGCATTAACAACCGGGTCGTCACTCAGAAACAGTACGGCGAGGCGCTTGAGGAGCACAGCATTTTGGTCAAGGCGAGGAACTTCCTCGTCTTCCAGGGTGACGTCGAGAAATTGGCGACGACAGCACCAGAACAGCTCACACTGCAAGTCGAGCGCATTTCCGGCAGTCTGGAGCAGAAGGCCGAGTACGATCGTCTGAAGGAAGAGTCAGAGGCCGCCACCGAGGACAACGCGAAACATCTGCACGAGCGTCGCGGTATCAACGGAGAACTCAAGACATACCAGGAACAAAAAGCCGAGGCCGACGAATACGAGAAGAAGCTTGCCGAGCGCGATGAAGCCATTGTCACCAAGAATCTTTGGAAGCTCTACCTAGACCAACAGGTCATGGAGAAGGCGCGGAACAAGATTGCCAGTCATCAAGAAGAGCTCAAAGAGCACAAGCGCAGCGTCGAAAAGTACCACCAGAGACACGAGGCGGAAAGGCAGGCCGAGGCTAAGATCAGGCGAGATCTTACCAAGACGGACCGCAACACCAAAGCTAAGGAGAAGGAGATTGAAGATGCCTCCAACGAGCTCGCACCCATCGAAGAGAAGATCCGACTGTCCAACGAGACGCGCCGAAAGTACGAGAGCAGACTTGACGAACTCCGAAAGAAGCGTGACGCAGAAAAGAAGGCAGTCGAAAAGTGCCAGAAGGATCTTGATCTGGTGCAAAAGGCCGAGAAGAAGTGGGAGGATGACTTCAAGGCTGCTGCTCAGAATCAAGGCCGTGAGCTTTCCGAGCAGGAACTCCAAGAGTACGGTCGACTGCGCAGCGACGTTACGAAGCGGACACACGGAGATCAGATGCAGATAGACAAGCTCAAGCGGGAGGTCGAGACAGACAGGGATCAAGTCAAGAATCTCCAGCAGAGCGTTGACAGCCATGAAAAAGCTATTGAAAAGCTGAGTGCAGACATCAGTAAGCTCGAGGAACGCCAACAAGCCTCCAAGACACAGATCAGGGATCTTGAAAGTGCAAGAGCCGCCAAACAACAGGAACTTGACAGGCTTCAGGCCGACCGAAAGCAGATCGAGATGCAGTACTACGAGAAGAATCAGCTGCTACAAGAGGTTCTGAAGCAGCTTAGTATTGTAGAAGGTAGCCGTCGAGAGTCAAGGAAGCAGCAAGAGGCCCGCAGGACCATTGATCGCTTGAAAACTCGCTTCGGATCCGAGAAAGTACACGGTCGTTACAAGGATCTCATCACGCCAAAGATGCAAAAGTATCGCAAGGCCATCGGTCGCGTGCTCGGACACCAGATGGATACCGTCATTGTCGACACGGAAGCTACTGCCAAATCTTGCATCGAGTACCTCAAGGCAGAACGCATTGGAGTCATGTCTTTCAACCCATTGGACTCTATCCAGATCCAGGCAGTAGACCCTCAATTGAAGGGTATGCACGAAGGCATGCGACTTGCCATAGACTGTATCAACTACGAGCCCAAACACGAGCGAGCAATGACTGCCGCCTGCGGTAACACCATGATCTGTAATACGGAAAAGCTCGCGAAAGAGCTCAGATACCAAAGGCGCATCGAGGTCAAAGCGGTCACCCTGGATGGGCGTGTCATTGGTAAGGGCGGAACACAAACAGGTGGTGAGCTTGACCGCGATGACGATTCTAGCGAACAACAATGGGACGAGCGATCTTACCAGGCCTTGCTAGACAAGAAAAACAGATACGA